CTCGGCTGCTCGTTCCATCCTGGTGCGCATCTCAGCTATCTGGGCCTTCTGGGCGCGCAATGCCTCGTCACGCCGGTCGTCAAGCTGTTCGATCCAGAGGAGATCCTCATCGCTGATGTTATCATGTTCGGTCTCCTCGCTGCCTCGGGTCGTTCTACCTCGACGCGCCGCAGTACGTCCCGTATCAGTACGTCTTCCCAGGTTGACCTCGGTTGGCGCATCCTCGTCGAGGTTGACGACCTATGGTTGTCCATCATCGGCATGCGCATCCTTCTCCAGCGGTCGGGTCATGCGTCTTGTGTTGCTTCCCTCGCCTGTCTCCGAGGTGGTGTGTAATGGCAGGAAGGTCCGAGTTCTGGGCGCGCCGTCTGGGGTTGAGAAAAGACTAGTCGGGATGAGTTGCTCTCCTGGTCGCCTAAACGAACCTTGACCTCGGCCCCGGCTCACCGTGGCGATGGTGTTAAGTCTCTCGTCCACAGTGACGTTCACATTTTCTTGGTTCTCCTGCCTCTTGAGCATCGCGTCCATCGCTGCCTTGATCTGGTTCAGCACTTCCAGTGCAAACACCGCATCCGTTGCACCTCGGTTGGCGTTCTGTGTAGTGTCTTTAGCGAAGGCTAGCATCGACTTCCTTGTTGTCGGGGCTGTCGACTTGGTTATCGCTCGTGTTATCGTCACGGTTTTCGCCACTGTTGTCATCGATGCGGTTACCATCGGCGCTCCTGACGCGGTTGCCATTGGCCTTCTCGACGCGGCTGCCATCCGTGTGGGTGATGTGTATGTCGCCATCAGTGTTGTCGATGCGTTCGATGGTCATCTTCTACGTTGTCTGTGAGGTGATTCCTTTGAGTAAGAAGATCNCAAGTCCCCTTAGACGGCGCCAAACTGTGGACGGCGGATCCTACANAGTTNAATTTNTCAAGGGTTGAAAGGAGAACTGAGTCTTCTGAGTATGAATCACGAAGCAAAAGTCGAAGATATGTTTTATTGCTGCTTCTGTTAAGCTCTGATTACAGATGAATCGATCCCCTTTTTGGGAGATGATAATGAACTATATATAGTACTTCTAAGTAAAATGGGCTAGCTAATAAATGGGTCTGGCCCATTAAGCAATATATTAAAATTAGGCCCATTAATCTATTAAGCCCTTTTTGTTAATGGGTTTAATGTCATTTTGGGCGAAGATTCAGACTGAATCCTTGCAGACTCGATCCGATTTCTCAGGATGCTGCAGAGTTGATCTCGTTGTTATATCGATCTCATAGGGGAGAAATCCGACCCCTACATATATATATATCAATGTTCTAAAACGAGGCCGTATAGAAGGTTTACTCGTCGAAAAACCGCTCAATGGCTCAGAGCCGCCGCGATTTTATCATATCTGGTCTTAAAATCGGAGAACTCGAAAAACTGATTTTTTTTTGTTTTTTTGCGTTCTAAGTCTGACATCAAGTCTTTTATGATATATCTACAATATTTTGTGTGAAAACTACAAGAAAATATAAGAAATTAGTGCAGAAGGTGAAAAAAAAAGAGTGGAGGCGTGATTAGGGTTGCAGAATCTGTAGGGTTGCAAATTTCTAAAGGAAGATGACAGGGGTATTTCGGTTATTTACCATAAATTAAAAAAAAAATGAAAATTGTTAGGGAACTCGAGCTCACGACCTGAAGCGCTTTAACACAGACCGTTACCACTGCACTATAATCCGTTTATTCTATCATATCTGCACATAAATAATATATATACNTATACAAGTGTAATAATTACATAAAATTAATCTCCACTTATCCCGGTTTAATTGAGATAGCAAAATTTCAAACCTTGATATATATACGCAAAATATCCCAAATACCTTGCTATTTTAATTTATCATTATATCTCCACTTTTCAAATTATTATAATATCTAATTCAATAAATATAAATATTCGGGGACGCTATTAAACAAGAAACAGAAACCAAAAAAACATAACTAGTTAAACCACTGGCTAATTGTTTTACATAGATTTGAAGTTTAAAATATTTCAAAGATTCAAGTTGATGAGCTAAGTCTGATATTTTACATCATATTTTTTAAGCTCCTCAATTTTCAGTTATTTAATAGACAAAAAGCTAAACCATTTTTTCTTCTTCTTCCTACTCCATCCTGCAGCCAAAGTAAAAGAAGACCAATGGATTCTTCAGTTCAAATCAAAATGGTGAGAGACCAAAACCAGGCTAGATCAGAATTCTTCAATAAATGACATAATGTCTCTGCAGTATTTGTTCAAGAGTTTTCACCGTAAACCTTATCAAGCCTTTTCTCGATTATGGAGTGCATGTAAATTTAAACAAGCACATTGCATATATAAGCTCTACACGAAGACCTCTTTCGACTAAAGAAGATAAAGCTAACCTTCAGGTTCTTTTGCGTTTCAGAGT